AAAAAAAAAAAAAAAAAAACATTAAAAAAGAAATTAAAAAAAAAAGATAAAAAAAAAACTGGTGATCTTCAGGGTGGATGGCTGGCTCAGTTGGTAGAGTATGTGACTCTTGGATCTCAAGGTCATGAGTTAGAGCCCCATGATGACTGTAGAGATACTTAAAAATAAAATCTGTACAGGCTTCTCAGTGGCTCAATCCGTTAAGCATCTGATTCTGGGTTTCTGCGCCAACAGAGCAGAGGCTGCTTGGGACTCTCTCTCCCTCTCTCTCTGCCTCTCCCCTGCTCATGCTCTCTCTCTCTCTCTCTCTCAAGATAAATAAACTTCTAAAATAAATAAATAAAATAAAATCTTTTTAAAAACTGGTGATGTTCCGAGCAACTTGGTGAAATTCATGAGTAAGATTTGGAAAAAGAAAAAGGATAAATCTCATGCTTTTAAAGATTCTGGAACTGTCTCATTATAATTGGCCTTTCTAACCAATTCTACCAAGCTGGAATAATTGAAAGTAAGGCCAAGGCTAAAACAAAGAGTCCAATTCTATACAATGTAACTTAGTATTTCCCCCAATCATGAGGATAAATGCTAGTAACAGTCTGTAAAATCTAGATCAATGCCAAGGAAAGCACTAATCCAAATTAATATGCTTATTAATAAAATAGGAATTAGAAATAAGGCTGAAATAAGATTATCATCCTACTTCTGGGGAAAAATTAATCTCCTAGTTTTCTCATTAATAGGTTCCAAGCAATTTTTAAAAGAAAACTTTTCAACAAATATTACAACTTGCAAGTGATTCACAACAGTTAATATGAAAAGAGAACACTGTGGGTCTGAGTGTGACATGTCACACGAAGTCAGGAAAAAACCCATCACACAAACACACAAATGACAAACCACATATTCAAACAGGGAAGTACTGAACCCTAACTACTACAAAGCTGCAGAAACACACAGATGGCTTTCAAATAAAAGGGCTCTCTAATTCATCTCAAGCAGTAAAAGGGGGACCAGAGCCTTGTTTAATTTGCAAGTGACCACTAAAAAACTGCACGGTCACTTAACACACAGAACACAATTTAACAGGTCAGCTATTAAAAAATAAATAAATAAAAACAAACAAACCCATTTTAACAACAAAGGACACCATGTTGTTACCTGCTCCATGTTGTACCCATGCTTCTCTTTAGCAATGGCGATGTATTCATCTACTGAAAAACAAGACAAGAGAAAGTAAACAGACTGAAGGATAGGGAATCACAGGATATGAGCACTACAATTTTATATATATATATATATATAAACTGTATATATAAATACATATGTGTATACACACACACACACACACACACACACACTTCAGGCCTGCCATACAGGAGAAAAAAAATAAAGAACAGACAGTAAGAAGACAGAACCATATAACAGGATCCCACTCTGGGTCTTACATATATAAATCCCAAAAGGAATGGTTAAAAATATACTATAATATTAACAGTACTTGTCTATGGATGGGAGAGATCATGATTCTTTTTTTTAACGTGGTTTTACTTATTAAATTTTCTATGATAAACAAATATCACAGGGGTACTCTGAAAGATAATCAAAAGAAATAAAAAGAAATATTAAATTGGGGTTTGTTTTTAGTCTCAACTGAAGTTGAAAAACAAACAACTTATCTTCACGTTAAAAAAATCTACAACATGAGTTACACGAATCAATGCCTGCTATTTGCTTTCAACTTCCAAATCAAGGTGACAAGTGCCAGGTCTTCAAGCACTAAGGTAGCACCAAGGAAAACTGACTGGCTCTGGTACTGAGGGGAAGCTGCCATCCCAAAGTTACTTCCTTTCTACATCTTCCAGCTTTTCTTCCAGGAAAAAAAAAGAGAGAGAGAGAGAGAGACTACTAATCAATAACACTTCATTACATGCTTATATAAGTTTTTCATTTTTATAAATTTTGTAAATTACAAAAATAACACAAGCTTGGGGGAAAAAAAAACCCAATAGCACAGAACCGTCTGAAACAAACATAAGTCCCTCTGGTTCAGCCACCTCTCCCTCTCCCCACCCGCCAGGCTCACTCTCCAGGTGCAATGACCAAATTTAAGAGTTGAGAAAACCAGGCTCTGAGTGACTCCCTTGCCCACTGTTATTACCCAGGGAGTTAAGGAAGCAGCCGAGGAAAAGTCAGAGCCTCCCGGGCTCAGGACGCTATTCAATTCCACCACAACCGTCTTACCTAATGGTGGCACAACGGACAACCAATTTACAAAAAAGAAATCAACTCTCTGAAGAAGAATTCAAACTCTTTTATTAACAGGTATTCTAACAGTAGAGGAAAAGCTTTTCCACTGAAGAAGAAAAAGTCAAGGTCACTCCAACTGTGACTACATACAGTACAACTCAGTATTCGTTTCAATACCAAGGCACTAGTTTTCTATTTCCTTTTTTCATACTGAAAGTACATACAACAGACAGTTGCTTCACTCAGAATATATACACCAGACCCTTGACCTCAAGTTTGAACTACATGGGTCCACTTTCACAAGGATCTTTTACAGTCCAGTGCTGTCAAAGTATTTTCTCAACAGCACTGTCTTTTCTCTGGCTTCCATTACTGGAAGAAAACAGTGTGCGTCACATTAACGCACAACGTGTAATGTGTGTTCACTGGCTCTTTATGTCGTCAGCAGGCCATCAGTAGTTATGTTTCTGGGGAGTCAAAACCTGCATGTGAACTTTTTACTACACAGGGTGTTGGCACCCCACGTTGTTCAAGGTTCAACTGTAGTAAAATTCCTATTTACCCAAGAGTCAGCAAACGACAAACTAAATGACCCTGGTCTGTCACAAAAGTTGGAATGGGTGATCTTAAAAATGGGGAGGAATTATTCCAAAGTGTGTCCCTTGCTGATTTATTTCACAATAGGCTGGGTTATGCCACGTAAGAGAAAAATGCCCTAAGCTTTACGTACAATATTGATGAACGGTGAGGCCACGTGGCTCACACGGGGACCTCGGCGGAAAAACTGCAGGTTGGATGATAAAACTAAGTAAAGAGACGTGTGTACGGGCAGAGGGGAAAGCAATCTACAGTGAACTGAGGGTCAACCCTGGGGAGGGTCTGCTGGGAGGGTGGTTTCTTCTCATAGATATCTTGCAAATGAACCTCAAACTTCTGCTGTACAATCTCAACTCCACAAGCGTACAAATGTCCAGACACGGCCATTTACCTTCGCCGAGTGAGGAACACTTGATGTGTGCACAGCCACCACTCAGTCATGTGATCTGCGAGCAAACCCGCGCACCCATGTCTGAGCCGGGCAGGGGGCAGGCCCCACAGTGCACTGCCCCAGGAACCCGCCCTGCCCACCGTTCTCTGTTCAGGAGTCCTTTCTGCTGCATCAGTAACAGGGCCAGTAAGCCTGTCCCCATGTCTCCAACCGGATTTAGTTTAAAAATTACAAGGAGGGGCGCCTGGATGGCTCAGACGGCTAAGCGTCCGACTTCAGCTCAGGTCATGATCTCGTGGTTTGTGGGTTCAAGCCCCATGTCGGGCTCTGTGCTGACAGCTCAGAGCCTGGAGCCTGCTTCCGATTCTGTGTCTCCCTCTCTCTCTGACCCTCCCCTGCTCACGCTGCCCCTTTCTCCCTCTCTCTCTCTCAGAAATAAATAAAACATTAAAAAAATTTTTTAATTACAAGGAAAACGAAGCATTCTTTGGATGCTACGCTATTTTCACCTGCTTTGCTTTTTAACAGGAAAATTATTAGCTGGTGACAGGAACAGTAAAATGGACTAAAAGTGGATTCCGAGCATTATAGCCAAGTTTGGGCAGAACACTTTCCGAGCTGTAAACAGCAAGGTGTTCTTAATAAGTAACCTTTAAAATCACTCCTCTTTTCGATTTTCTTGTAGACTACCCTGAGGACTCAAATCTAAAGCAAAGGAAGAAAGCACTTTATCAGAGCCACTTAGGGGAAGTCACCTGTATCTCTACCAGGTGACCTGAAGGCAGGACAAAGCAAGTTAATATGTGGGGAGCCTTGCAACTTGCCAAAGAATTACCATCTGACGCCCACCAGCAAAAATACAATTTTCATTCCCGTCACTGTCCCCAGCATCCAACGAAGATCAGATAAACAATTTGTTAAATGAATGCTGGGAGCGCTGTCACGTGCACGATGTCACAGAAGAAAAAGGTTCTTTTCCACCAAGTGAAAAGGCAGCGCGGGTCAGGTGTGGGAGGTCCCATCTTGGCTCCGGCTCTGGACAAAAGCAGCTCACAGGCGGTGGTGGCCGAGCACAGGGCTCCACCGTGTTACCTTCAGCAACTTTCCTGACCTTCCCGGGAAGTAGCTCTCGCCAGCAACGCCGCGCCATCGCCTAACTGCAGACTACGCAGAGCAGGCAGCCCTCCCGGAACGTGGAAGACCGGACTTCATCCAGCACAGGGCTGTGTGCACGCAGGCTGCCGCCGCCAGCCGTGTCCCTCACCGCCTCGCTGCTGCGCGTGCAGAGTCCTCAGCTCCTGCCTCCTGCCCCCTTCCCGGCCGGGGGACAAGGGTGACCGGCCACGGCTTCTACGGCCTCCAGTACCTTCTCTACCACCTGCCCTGCCCCTTTACACAGCGTGCCGGGAGCTGCCGGCAGGGCATGACGAAGGTGGGAAGCGTGCATTTTCAAAACCTCCCACGTGCTTTCCTTAAGCAAAAATAAGCTTTCAACCTAAGCCAGTAAGACCCACTCCCAAACGCCTTCACAAAAACGAAGGAGGACCGGGTGACCACGTACGTTAGCTGGTGGGTAAGGGACGTGTCAGGAAGGGAGGCAAGAGCAATACAAGCTGCCTGAGACCAAAGCTCTAAAATAGCGAACCCGAGGCTCCTTGGGGACCTTTCCAGTACTTTCTCATCTCTGGCAGCAGTAATCTTGATTTCATCTCTAAAAAATTAAAGGTTAACCAGAGGCCACCCCAATCTGGGCGTGAGGAGCCCTGCAGGCGGGGGCACTAAGTACGCTGCGATTAAGCCGCTGCTGCAAGTCCACATGGCTTAAGAAAATGCCAGGACGCAGGCAAGGGTCCGGTCGTCAGGCGCGCCAGCGCCCCCCCCCGCCCCAGCACGGGGGCAGGACCAGGCAGGCGCCTGGGTGCAAGCAGGTGACCGGACCTTCTAAGCAGAAAAATCAGTCACTTGGTGTGCTCTCCTTTAAAAACCACTCTATCTTTGTATAACACAGTATTTTTTAAACCTTGACTATTCCTAAGGAAACAACCAAGGAGAACCGTCTATCTTAAGTTATAATGGATAAAGACACGTGTCACTTCGATTCTCTAAGAAGAACACAGGCTGTACAAACCACTGGCTTTTCTGACAAGAACTCAGCATCATAGAAGGCCCAGGTAAAGGAGTTCTGTTTTGGGGTAACATCACTTAAAGGCGGACTGTGTGTGAGATTCATCAGAAAAATTTACAAAATTCCTAAAGCCTTCTCAAACATTTCTTGAACTACCCTTACTATGTGCAGAACACTGTACTAGGGAGCAGGCCAAAACACGGAAGAAAAATGGACTGATTTCCTGAAGTAGCTTGAAACAACACAAGTAGAGAGAACAGAAATACAGAGAACAACAGTATAGATGCAGACTGGCATGAGATCCAAAATACTCAGTAAATAATAATGATCATGATGTTATATCAAGATAAGCTTCCTAAAAGTTCAATAGCTATACTGATTAGTAACAGTAGTTACTATCTGCGAATTTACTATGTGTCAGCCACTGTTCTAAACTTCTTTATGAGGATTCTCTGTAATCCTCTCCAGTATTTCCATGATCAGTCCCATTCCTAAAGAAAGAAACTAAAGCTCAGAGAAGCAATGTGGCCAAGGTCACACAGCTGGGAAACAGCAGAGCTAGGACTTCCATCCACACACACAGTACGTGACCACAGCACCTGTAATAAATATTAACCCTCTCGGGCTATCCCACCTCCTAAGCAAAGGGCACAGAGAACTGAGCCAGGCGAGCCCACACAGTCCATGCCGCTTGCATGGAGTTAAGAAAATGAAGCGGCGGTTGATGAAGGAAGTGAGGGTAACAGGCAAATGCTGCCTCGTGGGAGGTCTCACTTGTTTCTATATTCATGTTTCAATCCGATGAATGAAATGTCCTTAGTACCGTTAGTGACAGTCTCAAACTCAGCTGC